TTATACACTTAAGGAAAGGATAATTGATTTTCAAATAAAATTTTGTTGATAGAGAAACTAAAACATGTATACAGTTGAAACCAAACAATTTACGAAATAAATTATTCAATGATTTTTTTTTTGAAACATTAAATTATTCAATGATTACTTGGTCGAATTTAGAAACTATGAAAGAGAAAACACACAACAAAACTCATGAACAAAGATTCAATAAAATCATCAAATCAAGTTTAAAGAATAGCGAAAAAGACAAGCAGATTCATTAAAACACAAACCGGAAAATAGCTTCTTAATCTCGTAGAAGAATCAGATTTCTTCATCCTAATCCTTTTCTTATGAGCTTTAACTCCATCTCCGTTGACTTCAACATCAGCACCAACCTCAATTCTATGCCTCTTAGTTTTCCAAAACACAACCTTAAACCTCACATGTGTCTTCAGATCCAACCTGAAAACCGCCGATCCATTAGGCAAAACCGCTCGTAAAACCGTCTGGTTGTTCAATGGCAGAGCCTGACCCCACTTCTTGGCTTTCTTCTTGTGTCCTTGGTAGAACTGAGGCACCGTGTAGTTAGCGACAAGAGCAGAGGAATTGGTCGTTGTGTTGGTGTTGGACAAAGAAACGTGAACATCGTCGTAGTAGATTCCTTGGTCTCTGTTAGGATTGTCGAGACGAATCATGAAATTGAGAGTGGTATTGAGTTTTGAATTGAGAGATTTGTTGAGGGCAGGAACGTAAAATTCTTGGATCCAGCATTTTGGTTTGTTAGGACGAAGACTGAGCCATAAGAAGAGAGAAGTTAGACCAGCAGTGAAAATGAAGCTTAAGCAGCAACTACAACAGTTACCACCACGTTCTCTGTTTCGATCTTGATCCATTATTTTTCTTTTCAAGATTTTGAGATCTTTGTTCTGCAAGATTTGAAGATGTTTATAGATTAGATTCTTTGGTTTGATCTTTTAGATCATATTTCAAGTTGACCATAAGAGACGACTCAGTAGGGACACACACGCGCTTAGCCAAAGAAAAGAAAGACATATATAAATGAACGTAAGGAATTATTAAAAAATCTATAAGGTTTTTTGGATTATTTAAAACGACCAAAACTTGAAACAACTATGGATGTTCAAAATAACAGAAAGCCGAAAGTTTTTTTTTGATAAAAAGTAAATATCATTATATAACGAAGGTTTAGATATTACAAGGTTAATCTAAAGTCTATACTATCTTGCCAAAAAAAGATAAAAAAACAAGCTAGTATAATTTTGGTTTTGGAACATGGATCATAAAATCATCTTAGCCAAAGTAACATTAGATTGGTGAAGAACTTCCTATGTCTTCTCGCCGAAATAAAATTGATAACTTCCCGGTAGATTGATTTGTAGACGATGCTCGCCGGGATTGAGGTTAGGTTGTGCACAACATTGTTGCGTTGCTTCCAAATGTGAAAAATCGTAGGTTGAACCACTAGCTTCCGTAGGATAGTAGGGGCCCTTGTCGATGAGTTTCTGATCCATGAGAGTAGCTCATCCCAAGTTGTGAACAGGTTTGAATTCCGATTAAGACCAGACAAAACCAATCTCCAAACCTCGACACTATATTGA